CGGCACAATTTCCTCAGTATTTGAAACCTCTCTTTACCTGCCCTCCAGGAGCCACACTGCTGCGCAATTGAGCCCGTTACCACATGTCTTCCTCGCGTGAACTGAGGACTCAAGGGAGCTCAGGTGTGAGCTGGAGAGAGGAGTGCAGTCAGAATGGGCATCTGCCTCCAGGTTCTAAGCTCTGGGACCCTCAGACCAGGACACGATGGTTTGGTGGCCTCCCTAAACCAGTGGGAGCAAAGGGGGACACAGTTCAGTGTGCTTGAGTGCGTACTGGGTGTGGGGTCTGGGCTAGGGCAGGGGATGGGGGCCAGGGTGAGACACTGCCCTGCCCTCAGGAAGCTTCTGTTCTGGTTGAATTAGGGAGTGGAGGTAGAGAGGGGGAAGAGAGAAGCCCAGAAGAAATGCAGGTTTAAAACTACATAAGATGACGGAATTGCGTTAAGAGCTATAAGGTGCTACAAGCAGGAAGAGAAGGGTCTTCAATTCCTGAGCCCTGCTGGGTGCCAGGCCCTCCCCTGTCTCCTCATGTCACCCTCATGGCCCATGTGAGTACAAGTAAGAGTAAGCAGCTGCTGTTTGTGGAGCGTATACAATGTGCCAGTTTCTTTTCTTATAATTTTTTTCAATGTTTATTTATTTGAGACAGAGAGACAGAGACAGAGTGTGAGCAGGGGAGGGGCAGAGAGAGAGGGAGATACAGAACCCAAAGCGGGCTCCAGGCTCTGAGCTGACAGCACAGGGGCTCCAACTCATGAACCATGAGATCATGACCTAAGCAGAAGTCGGACGCTTAACCCACTGAGCCACTCAGGCACCTCTCTTTCCAAAGTCCTTTAATCCTTATACCACACTAGGAGGCGGATAGTATATCTCCATTTGTTGATGAAAAAATAGGATCAGAACGTTTAAATAACAAAGCTGATGTCCGGCAGTATGTGGTGGTAAGGAGGCCGGAACCCACGTCCCGTGAGGAGGGGCACCAGAAGAGATTCCTGAAGGCATTCCCAGTAGTGGGAACTGCGGGAGCAAGGTTAGGACACCGGGGAAGTCCTGGGCAATCAGAGCACAGCAGGTGAGGCTGGGAAGATGGGGTGGCACCTGGGAGGGGGTGTGAACACCAGGGAGAGGGGTGTGTGGTGGGTTTGGCAGGCAGTGAGGATGTTTTGGAGGTTGTGAGCTAGAGAAGGACGAGGTCAGAGCTCTGCTCTGCCAGGCAAAAGCCTAGCCTGGCAAGGCTCCAGGGAGTGGTAGTGGGTCTCCCTTGAACTGGGGTGGTGGGCTGGGATGAGAGAAGAGAGCAGGGCCCATTCTGATGTGAGGACAGCAGCCCTCAGGCCTTTAGAGCCAAGAGGCCTTAGACTCAGCAATCAACTGGGCTGGTTTCCTACCTCTGCGAGCAGTGAAGGACCCTAAGGCCCACAGAAGGGATTGCCCACCATCCCTTGGGAGAGGGTACGCAGCAGGATGAGGACTGTAGTCCAGCCCTTGGTGAGAAGCCAGCGCTCAGGAAGATCACTGGGGCAGCCCGGGGACCCCCGGGAGGTCAGACGTGAACCCCGCTTCGTAGAACCTGTCTGCCCGCAAGAAAGTAGTGGGGGGTGGATGCTGCTTTGGCCACAATGGGAAAGCGGAAGGGTGAGCGGGACTGATTCTTGGGCATCGGCTGGGGAAGTAAGATCTGGAGGGGCAGGTAGGAGTATTGTTGGGACTTTACATCCTTTGGGGCCATTTGGAGATGGGGCTAGAGAACCAGAGACCCAGGGGTGGCTGCAAGGCTGCCCACTAATACTGCTCCCTCGCTTGTCTGCTCATTCACACTTGCGACAAAAATTGATTGAGTGCCTACTCTGTGCTACGCGCTGTTCTAAGCCTTCGGGATCACATCGGTAAGCAAAACAGCCCGAGATCCCAGCCCAGACAACAAGTTAATGACACAGTGCATCGGACGGTGATGAGTGCGATGAAAGAACGGAAAGGTAGATCCAGGAAAGGGGCACCAGGAATGCCAGGCAGATGACGTTTGAGTCCAGGCTAGACCAGGCCAGCAGGGAGAAGGGACAGCCGATGCCCAAGGCCTGGAGCCAGGAACCCTTCTGAAGAAGAGAAGGAGGCCAGAGTGGCTGGGACGGAGGTCAAAAGAACATGGGGCTGTACTGTGAAGGCTTCTAGAGCCTAGGAAGGACTTTGGTTTTGACTCTGAGCAGGATGGGACCCGTGCAGGGTGTGGAGCAGAGGACAGACATGGCCTGACTTAAATTTCACCTGCGTAGCTCTGGCTGCGAGGTGGAGAACAGGCTGGAAGGGGGCAGGGGTGGAGGCAGGGAGGCCAGGCAGGGATCCAAGCGGAGGTGATGGTGGCTTCGGGCCTGGGTAGTAGCAGTGGAGGAGGTGTGGAGGGGTGGAGTGTGGGATGTGTTTTGAAGGCAATACCAACCCAACACAGTTTCCTTATGGAGTGTTATTGAGGTATGAGGGAAAGGGAGGGGTCAAGGAGGACTCCAAAAGTTGGGACCCACATTTGGTGCCTTCACAGATTTCTGTGGGCCATGGCACCTGAGCACTGGATCTCTGTGCCCTCGAAAGAAGACCCCGCCCCCGCCCCACTACCCAGCATACCTAAGAATAGAATCTGACAGAATATTCTGTGGCTGTCGATGGAAACAACACATTACATCAGAACCCCTGTGCGCTCTGCTAATGTCGGAGGTTCATCGTGTTCAGCAAGCTCAGCGCTTTCTGCCTGCACCCATGGGTCTGCCCTGATGCCCTGCCTCTGCCCCCAAGGCTGCGGGACTGCCGCTGTGCTCCCGTGCCCCACTGCAAGGGAATCATTCAAGTGTAATGGAGAAATTCAGACACACAGCCCTGGATGAGGTCGTGATCCTGAACGTGAACACCACCGCCCCAGAAACCCCCTCTAGTGACCTCTGGAGACTCCCAAAGGACGTGGGAGAAAAGCGCCTCGGGAAGCACGCGCCTTGCCACAGATCACTTGGCTGGTGGGGGCAGAGCTGAGACCGGACGACACCACAGCCCATGCTGCCTCTGCTCATGTACATCGGCCCCCCTAAGGCAGAAAGAGAGGGCGGAAGCAGAAAAGATAAAAGTACCAGACAGCACAATAAATTTCATATGTTGAAAAAAAAAGTACCAGACAGGTGTGAGAAACACAAGGCATGAACGGTCATCTAATTTCTCAAAAGATGCAACACAATTTTTAAATGATGTGAAATACCATTTTCAAAACAACACGGAGGAGTGTATTTAACCGCACTCAGCTCGTAAAGAGCCGATGGGCGAGTGGAATAATGGTGCACGCTGTAGCATGTTGAATGTATTGGCAACAGAGAAGCTTGGTCGAAGGAAGCCGAGAGCGAGAGAGAGGGATTCAGGTCCCTGCCTTGTCAGTTTGGGTTATTATCCAAAGAGAAATGGGCAGTCATAACCCTTGAACTGAGACACACACCAGCCTTTACACGCTTGAAATCCCCAGCTTTCCCCCTAGAAAGGAGGGATGGAGAAGAGAAGGCCAAGCGAGGGAAGCTGTTTCTGACTCACACGAGGGAGCTGGGGAGCCATAGACAACCCTGGGAGAAGGCCGGGCTTCAGGCCCAAGAGTCACTCCTCTCCTCCCACGCCGTCTGTCTGCCCCCTGGTGGCCATGCCCCATCTCTGCAGGCCTGGCTGCCTGTCCCGAGTGGGCGACAGCCTGGCGTGAGGTGCTGTGGGGATAGAGGGGGTTGGGGCCCGCTGGGCCGGGTAAGCAGGGCCTTGCCCTCAACAGGCTCGTTAAAGCCGGAGGCAGCCCTGGAGGCTGGGGCCCGGCTGCCCTGCCTGGTCACCGTGGGAGGCTGCGAGGCCGTCGTTGGCCGGCAGGGGGTCAGGCCACCTGGGCCATCACCCCTGCCCTGAGATTTCACACGGTGTGCCCTCCTCCGCTGTCGAGGCCACCCGAGTTGGCTCCCTCCCTTCTCCTGGTGCCGAGGTCTGGGCACCGGGCCACTGCTCACCCTACGGGCAGAGTTAAACATTAGTGGCAGGTTATCAGGCAGATCAGGGGGAGGGAGACCAGGAACCTGCACTCACCAGTGTCTCTGCTGGAGCCACCAGTTTCCACCCCTGCCGGACAATGCCCGTGGAGGAGTTTGTGGCCGGCTGGATCTCTGGTGAGACACTTTTCTCCCTTCTGTCACATCCCCTCCACCCCAGGGGTGGGTCACTTCCTGGTGATTTGGGAGGAGCTGAGACCAAAGTCCTGGTGGCCCAGAAGCACCCAGAGCCAGCTATCCCGGAGCCTCCTGGCAGTTGCCCGAGGGGAGCGGAGAGGAAGCCGAGCTGCCCTCGCCTCCAGGGCCAAGGCGAGCGCTCCCCCAGACTCACCTGCGCCTGCAGACCCGCACCAGGAACCCCGCTTCCCTAGGCCCACCCTGGGGGGCTCAGAAAGGAAGTTCACCTTTGACCCCAGCAGCTGTCCCGCATTCCCCTTTGGGCCTCTGCACTACCCAGCCGTGGGCTGCAGGCCCTGTCGCTGAGGCCTGCTGTGCTGGGGACCCAGCCCAGCTTCTGGGTGACACTTCTCTCAGAAGAAAAGAGAGGGACGTTTCGAACCTGCCTCCTGAGAAGGTTCTGCCTCCAGAACCTGCACCTGCTACACAGGGGAGATGGCCTGGGGGCCGGGACCCTCCTCCCCTGGTGTCAGCACGACTGTTCTAAGGGCTCCCAGCTCCGTACTGCTGGCTGAGGGGGTGGAGGGGGCGGAGAGCAGGGCCCCGTCTGGATCGAGGCCACATACTCCACGGCAGTAGTGAGTGGAAGGCAAGAGGGAAGGAGTCAGGCCGGCAGCGAGGCAGGAGCACTGGAGAACCCATCCCACCGCCCCACGGTTAAATAGGCAAGACAGGCAGTGTTAGATGCTATGAGGACGTGGTGTCTGTGGTTGGCTCCTCCCTTCGGCCTGTGTCCTCCAGGTGGGGCCAGGGCTCTCTCTGATTGTCCCCATGTCCCCACGTCCCCATGCCTGCCTCACCCAGCACCTGGTGCGGAGGAGGTTGCAAAGGGGACAGCTGGAGTTTCTTTGGAGTCTGGCAGGTAGGGCTCTGCCCCATTTTCTCCCCCCTGAATTCCCCTTCCCTCTAGGCACCTGCTTCCTCAGCATGGCGCAAGGGGCCTCACTCATACCATCTTCTTATCCCACAGGAGCTCTGGGTTTGGTCCTGGGACACCCTTTTGACACTGTAAAGGTGAGTCGAGGGGACGCACTCAAGGAATAAAGGCTACGACCTGAACCAACAGTCAGGATGCCTTGAGGGGGGGATCTTTCCTATCAGTCCTGCCCTGCTGGCATCCTGCTGGGCAGAGGGAGGAGCTGGGCTAGAGCCGTCTCTGCCCATCCCTGCTGGGCTGCCTGCTCTGTCCTCCTCATCCAGGTGCGGCTACAGACCCAGACCACATACCGGGGCATCATCGATTGTATGGTGAAGACCTACCGCCATGAGTCGGTGGGTGTCTTGCTTCTTTGGGGCTTTGGCATAGGAGGCCTCCGGGTGGCCAGCACCAGCTTTCTTGCCCCCTGGCAGGGCTCTGTCCCTGGAAGAGAGATGACCTAAGTCTGGGGCTACCCGGGGCCGGGTGGTAGCTTGGTGCCCCGAGGATGGACCTGGGGCTGCCTCGACCTCCCTTCGGCAGGTTTCAGGAGTGGTTTCTAGCCAGAGGAGACCCTGCGAGAGGTGGGAGGGGAGAAGAGGAGGCCTCCCTGGTCCCCCAGCCACTTTAGCATTTGCCACATCTTTCTACAGCTCCTGGGCTTTTTTAAGGGAATGAGCTTCCCCATTGCGAGCATAGCCATGGTCAACTCCGTCCTGTTCGGGGTCTACAGCAACACCCTGCTGGCGCTCACGGCAACCTCTCACCAGGAACGGCGGGCCCAGCCACCCAGCTACATACACGTCTTCATAGCTGGCTGCACCGGAGGGTTCGTGCAGGTGAGAGGGAGGTGTGGGGTGTGTCCACACGGGTACGGTCATGCACACGCGCACAGGTGTATGCATGCACACACATCCACACACGCGCGCATGTGGGCACAGCGAAGGTCCGTTTGCTGCTTCCCCTCCCAGCCCTCTCTGCAGACCCTGGGTCTCCCCAACGGGTACATGAGGAGCTGTGGGGGAATGGCCAGCTCCTGGCTTCTGCCCGATGACCTGGCCTGGCAGAGCTGGCTGTGGCCGTCTGGGCTGCAGGCTTGGAGGGGAGGGTCATGGAGAACACTGCGGGGGGGGGGGGGCAGAAGGCAGAGAGAGCTGGGGGTGGGGTCTGGGGAGACGGTGCTGAGGGGGCCGCATGGAGAACAGTCGGTGCCCCACTCTGAGGCTGACGGGGCTTGCCCACTCGGAGGGCTCTGCCAGCCTCGGGGCTCTGGGAAGACTTCTCCCCCAGGTGACCTCTTGCCCTGGAGAACTGACAGCGCTCCCAGAGCTCCGAGCCCAGCCCTTCCAGTCCTGGCGTGGTCCTGGCACTGCCCCAGCTCATGCCCTGCTCAGCCCCTTTGCCTGCAGCATGTGGCGGGCCGGGATCTGTGAGCCTCGCGGGACCCCAGTCCACAGAGCTCGCTGCGAGAGGCCCAGGGCATTAATCATTAAATAGCTCTCATCATTCGGTTTTGGTCTTTGTTCTCAGCACTTAAGTATCCAGCTTTTGATTGATGGGGTGGAGGAAGACGCGGCTTCCAGGCACCAGGGGGAATCCCAGCTGATTGGGGGGCGTGAGCACAGAGGCGGAGGGACTCTTGCCTGGCTCCCCTCCACACCCCAGCCGGGCGCCTTCCGTCACCCCCTGTTTGACATTGCCCTGACGCTCCTAACATACTTCATGGGGCAGAGAGCAAGGACAAAGGACAGAACCAGGCGGCTCGCTCAAGTGAATTAATGATTCATGAGACCCCCAAAGGTCCTGGCCTTTCTCCTGCCCCTTCTTGTGCAGGACACATGCCTGCATATTTCCCAAGCCCTGAGACTTGCACCCCACAAAAACAAGGAAGAGAACTGAGACCCCAGGCTAGTAGCTGGCCCAGAAAGGCCCAGCTCCTAAGTCACCCTCCCCTCCTGCTCTTTAGAAAGCAAAACAGGGGCGCCTGGGTGGCTCAGTCAGTTAAGCGTCCGACTTCAGCTCAGGTCATGATCTTGCAGTTTGTGAGTTCGAGCCCCGCGTCCAGCTCTGTGCTGACAGCTCAGAGCCTGGAGCCTGCTTTGGATTCTGTCTCCCTCTCTCTCTGCTCCTCCCCTGCTCATGCTCTGTCTCTCAATAATAAATAAACGTTAAAAATTAAAAAAAAAAAGCAGAATAGATAGCAGAACGGGGTGTTATAGGGTCACTGATGGGGACCTGGTCCAAGGACCGACTGGAACTCAGTTTCCCATCAAGCCCATGGATTCGGTTTAACAGGATCTTGGAGTAGAAATTGTGTTTCAGTGTGGAGAAGGGCAAGAAGAGGCAGGAAGTGACTCTGGTTAGCACAGGGCAGGGAATGACAACCTCTGATGTGCACAAAAGTTGCCTTTGGCTCAGCAAAGGCTGACCCTGTCAAACACTGTGGCAGTGTCTGCCGTCCCCAGTGACCCCGTGGGCACAGGTTGGGGAGTGAGGACCCTAACCTGCCCCTGCTGGCCACCCTACCTTGGGCTCGGCCATTTCCTCACCCTCAGGAGCCCTGGACTCAGGGGCACATCGCCTGGAGGAGTCCTGAGTTTGGCTCCGCCCACAGACTCTGAAGGATGATATCAGGGTCACGCCTCAGGGGGAGGGACCCCAGCCGGCTGCCCTTCCTACAGGGGAAGAAGTAAGCAAAGTTGGCCTGTCGCCCTCTGACCATCGCCGCCAGAGCCGACTTCCAGCTGCCTCTGCCATCAGCCATCTCCAGGGCTGAGGACCTGAGCTCATGTACCTTCCACGAAAGAAACAATAACCACAGAAGCCCCTCATGACGTGCTAACCTCAGCCTCACCTCAATTCTCATCTGAACTCTAACAGCTGACCTTGACCTCGTGCATCCGTGTTGATTCGCACACTGGCCCCTGCCCCCACCTTCCCTCCACATCCACCCGGAACCACCCTCAGTCCTAATACTACCCCAAATGTTCGTCCCTTCTGCCTCCGGGTGATAAGATCCCAGGACCCGCAGATCCCACCATCACCCACCTTCCTTGGGACACAAGTGGTTGGTGGTTTTCAGGAGGCAGGAAAGGCTGGCCCAGCACTTGACCCCGTCAGGGGCCTCTGAGAGGTGTCCTGCAGGAGGTAGGGGAGGGAGAACCTATGAAGTGGAGTCTCC